ACACAGTGATCAGGGTCATGTGTTGAGGTGGCACTGATCCATGCTCACTGTGTTTTCATGTTTGTTTACACCACTTCTGCTCCACTTGTCAGGTCTGACCCATTTTATACACCCTGCACAATGTCATCTCAACATCTAAGCCTGCATGGTTAGTGTTAAAATGAAATGAAATGATGGTTAATACAGTTAATGCAAGGGGTTGCTCAAAGCTTGCTCTAAGTAGTCTCCATTTCACAACACTGCGTAACTGGCAGGGATGCTGCTGCTTAAAGGCGTATCCTCTATCACCTACATTCACTATACTGTACACTACAGTCAGCTCACAATGATTATAATAGTTTAAAATAACAGATACATATACGTTTTAAGTACTGACATGGTAAAATAAACAGCATTATGTTTGTTTAAGCGTGACAGTTGTTTCTGTTTATCAAGGTAGCTTCATGTTAGCACTGCGCCGACGGCACGAGCTACAAATTAGCCTCATTACCCTGCAGGTGTGAATGAAGGAGCAGTGACATGTAGGCTGTAATGCTCCACACACACGCTCACCGTACAGTAAAAACAGCTTTAGGCTTTAACGACAACACTCAGCTTGCTTTTGGTGCAGGCTTACAGGCTTAGCTCTCTAGAAAGAGCGAATTAACAAGAGTTCAAACACACCAACCTCGAGCTTCCTCTCATACACGGGCAAACGGCGCAGCTGGGACGTCACCGCTGTTCATTCAGCAGGTGGAAATGAATGAACAGCTGTCTAAACCATAATGTGCCCAGTACCCTCCGATAATCACATCATAATTTCTCTCCTACGTGAAACAGGAAGTGGCCGCTGTTTCTTCGTTCCTATTGGCTGTTTCCGCGGCAGTAGGTGTTTGTAGATTTAAGCTCCAGCAGGGGGCGCTGCTGGCTCATCCATGAGGCGTGTTCACTCAGGTACTGCACTGAAGGACATTTTTTAGGTACTTGTACTCTACTTGAGTATTACAGCTCACAGTACTTTATACTTTTTATTCCACTACATTTGTCTGACAGCTGAAGTTGTTTAATTTTACATACATACACTTTTGTTTCTACTCCCATTTTCACAGGTTTAAGTTCGAGATCAAAACTTATTTTCATGCACTCAGTAGATATGTTTCTTTCAAATTTGGGTCACAAAGTTGTTTAAAATCCATGTCTGTGAGCACTTCTCCTTTTCCAAGATAATGCATCAATCTGATAGGTGTGGCATATCTGTCTCTGATGTTGTTTTCTTGAACTTGGCAGTACAGCCAACCAGCCTCACAACCACACAAGTCAGTTACAATAATGAACTGAACTTCTCTGAGATGGTTTCTGATAGTTTGTGCAAAAATTCTTCGGTTGTGCAAACCAATTGTTGCATCAGCTGTTAGGGTGACTAGTGTCAGTTGATCTTGCAGGCTAAGACGCTGTTTGTGGAAATCAGTGTGGTCTGTGGTTGTCAGGCCGGTTGGATGTACTATCAAATTCAAGGAAACAACATTGGAGATGGCTTATGGTCAAGAAATGAGCATTCAGTTCACTGGCAGCAGCTCCACTGGGGACATTCCTGCAGTCAGCATGACAATGGCACGCTGACCTAAACCTGTGAAAGATGGGAGCAGAGATAAAAGTGTTACGTTTACATTTCTGTTTAGTATAGATGAGGTCACCAGTAATGATGATGAAGTTGTAATTTACCCTGAAACAAAACTAAGAGGAGAAAAATCAGAATCTGATTAATTTCCAATTAGATTACAAGAAATTTGTTTTGTTTTATTGGTGCACTATACTACAGGAGTAATGCTGCTGAGGCTGTTTCCTAGGAGAACAATAGCTGATGAGGCAGGGGCGGACCAGTTAAACTCAAAGGGAGAAAAATCAGCTAGCCTCCTCTCTAACTGTGCTCCAGGTCAACATGTGTGTTATAGGAAGACACTGCAAAAGAAAATGTTTTACCTAATAGTTTTATCTTATCCTAATATGTCCCTCCTGTAGACTAAGTATGTTCCTGTTGTTCTGTGTGAAATTTCCTCAGTGCTGAGACAAACTAGTTTACACTGATTAACAGATACCTGTGTGTAAGTTCTTTGAGTACTCAGATTATATCTTTCATTAGACGGTCAAGGAATTCCTGAATTCAATTCAGCTTTGTTGTCACTCAGATGTCTTCATTAGCCCACCGCCCTTTGTTTAAACTTTGCTCTGAAACTTGATCTTCAGAGAGAATTCTGCAGCTTTGTTGTGACCTCCTGTCTTTACTAAGCAGTAAATAAAAACTCATCTGACCCAGCCACTGAATAAGACCTGAAGGATTGTTTTTTTCTTCCTCAACATACAGTACAGGCCAAAAGTTTGGACACACCTTCTCATTCAATGCGTTTTCTTTATTTTCATGACTATTTACATTGTGGATTTTCACTGAAGGCATCAAAACTATGAATGAACACATGTGGAGTTATGTACTTAACAAAAAAAGGTGAAATAACTGAAAACATGTTTTATATTCTAGTTTCTTCAAAATAGCCACCCTTTGCTCTGATTACTGCTTTGCACACTCTTGGCATTCTCTCCATGAGCTTCAAGAGGTAGTCACCTGAAATGGTTTTCCAACAGTCTTGAAGGAGTTCCCAGAGGTGTTTAGCACTTGTTGGCCCCTTTGCCTTCACTCTGCGGTCCAGCTCACCCCAAACCATCTCGATTGGTTTCAGGTCCGGTGACTGTGGAGGCCAGGTCATCTGCCGCAGCACTCCATCACTCTCCTTCTCGGTCAAATAGCCCTTACACAGCCTGGAGGTGTGTTTGGGGTCATTGTCCTGTTGAAAAATAAATGATCATCCAACTAAACGCAAACCGGATGGGATGGCATGTCGCTGCAGGATGCTGTGGTAGCCATGCTGGTTCAGTGTGCCTTCAATTTTGAATAAATCCCCAACAGTGTCACCAGCAAAACACCCCCACACCATCACACCTCCTCCTCCATGCTTCACAGTGGGAACCAGGCATGTGGAATCCATCCGTTCACCTTTTCTGCGTCTCACAAAGACACGGCGGTTGGAACCAAAGATCTCAAATTTGGACTCATCAGACCAAAGCACAGATTTCCACTGGTCTAATGTCCATTCCTTGTGTTTCTTGGCCCAAACAAATCTCTTCTGCTTGTTGCCTCTCCTTAGCAGTGGTTTCCTAGCAGCTATTTGACCATGAAGGCCTGATTCGCGCAGTCTCCTCTTAACAGTTGTTCTAGAGATGGGTCTGCTGCTAGAACTCTGTGTGGCATTCATCTGGTCTCTGATCTGAGCTGCTGTTAACTTGCGATTTCTGAGGCTGGTGACTCGGATGAACTTATCCTCAGAAGCAGAGGTGACTCTTGGTCTTCCTTTCCTGGGTCAGTCCTCATGTGTGCCAGTTTCGTTGTAGCGCTTGATGGTTTTTGCGACTCCACTTGGGGACACATTTAAAGTTTTTGCAATTTTCCGGACTGACTGACTTTCATTTCTTAAAGTAATGATGGCCACTCGTTTTTCTTTAGTTAGCTGATTGGTTCTTGCCATAATACGAATTTTAACAGTTGTCCAATAGGGCTGTCGGCTGTGTATTAACCTGACTTCTGCACAACACAACTGATGGTCCCAACCCCATTGATAAAGCAAGAAATTCCACTAATTAACCCTGATAAGGCACACCTGTGAAGTGGAAACCATTTCAGGTGACTACCTCTTGAAGCTCATGGAGAGAATGCCAAGAGTGTGCAAAGCAGTAATCAGAGCAAAGGGTGGCTATTTTGAAGAAACTAGAATATAAAACATGTTTTCAGTTATTTCACCTTTTTTTGTTAAGTACATAACTCCACATGTGTTCATTCATAGTTTTGATGCCTTCAGTGAGAATCCACAATGTAAATAGTCATGAAAATAAAGAAAACGCATTGAATGAGAAGGTGTGTCCAAACTTTTGGCCTGTACTGTATATTAGTGTCAAGTGTGCTGTGGTAAATCAGAGTGCAGTCAGTGCTCAGTATGTGGTCATGATAACAAGTTGCTCCTGTTCAGCTTGTTAAATGTTAAATGTGAAATAAAAAGTTTAGATTTTGCAGCATCACTAGAAAATGAAAAGTTCATATGTGTACTTGTGAGGTGCATCTGATGTAGGCACTCCTTCCTCACTAACACTTATATTTTTGTATCAGTTAGTCTCCTTTTCCCCCTATTTTTAGCACATGAATGTGCAAGTTCTCTTTGCATCCTTAAAGGTCTAGGTCTAGGTCAAGTATGACGCTGAATATATAAACTGTGTGTACTTTGACAAATGACTAAGAAGAAATCTTGACCCCATGGTTGGACCAGTCGGGAACCCCTGGTCTAATGTCTAGGATTTAGTGGCATCTAGTGGTGAGATTGCAGATTACGGAAACTACCGTACAGTGGCCGACACAAAAACACAAAGGCCGATCTAGAGCCAGTGTTTGGTTTGTCCATTTTGGGCTACTGTAGTAACAACATAGTGCACTCAGTGAAAGAGGACCTGCCCTGCATTTAGATATAAGATATAAAGGGCTCATCCTAAGATAATGAAAACACAAGATTCTTATTTCAGGTGATTAAAAACGAATGAAAGCATGGCTATGAATATTTTATATCGATGTCCTTAAATCCTACACAATGGGCCTTTTTTTAAAACCAAATTTAAGATTTGACTCATTTTGACAAAAAGAAATTAATAGACAGATAAGACTGCTCAATGACATTGAAGGCCTGATATTTATTCAATTAAATGTAAAACTTTTTGACACTTTTTAAGGACTTGCAGACACCCTGTCTTAGATATCTCACTGTTTCTAATCGTCTTTATTGAAATTTAAATGTTTATATGGCAATTAGTTTGATCATATTCAACTATGTTTCTAAAATCACAGAGTAACAAAAGGTAAGGATTTTTATCCCTGTCTTACGTGAGGAGGTAAAATTCATATTTTTACAGAAAACAAAATTGAACATGAATTAGGCAGACTTTTACTTTACCTTGTTTTATTGAGAAAAAAAGACTACATTGGTCAACACAGTGGCAAGGTACTCTGAAGAAAGCATGTGGCACTAACTATGAGTGGGTTCACTTATACAAGAGAGTGGGTCTATGAGGATCAACAAACTGTTCTTATCAGTCAGTTCCTCATCATACATTTACATCCTGTAAAGCAAATACATGGCAAAGAGTCCTCACAAAACACGTAATACTTAGATTTTAAACAACGACCCACTATTCATACGATGCAAATGTCTACCACTAAGGTACATTTTTATTTTGCATAAACTGTGCACGGTACACAGAGTCTACATTAAACAACAGTGAAACCACGAGGAGTGAAAAATATTCCCTTCATCAAAAGGTCATTTTGCCCATTTAAAATACATACCAGCAGTCAAATTAAAATCAGTGTGGGATCATGAGCTCGGTGACTATCGTATTCAAAGGGGCGCCTTCACAGAATGGACTTCTGTACACTTATTTCTTTTTATTTAAATATCTCATACAAACTTAGTGTATATAAATAGCCTTCTCGTTTTAAACAGTGACATACTGTTTTGCTTTCACTCTAATAACAAACCCTTTTCCCAACACGTCACTCTCCCTTCATTCTCACAGCCTTTGTATATTGTAATGCCTCTTAAGAAAAGAAAGACAAAAATAATTGTAATAAAAAACAGAAATAACAAGATATATATATATATATATGTATATATATATATATATATAATGTGGCGAGTCAGGTAGACAGCCTGGATGCTGGTCTTCGTCGTCAGCATCAGGTCACTATCATTTACATCTGGATCTCTTCATTCTGTATTCAGACACTGCACTGACTGCAGCACAAACAAGCCTGAAAAGACCTTATGACACTACGCATCTCTTTTGCATCTTAAAGGAACAGTTCACCCCAAAATGAGGATTCAGGTTTCTATGTCTGTGTTTGCATGTCAGTAGAAACTCCACCAGGGACCACCAGACACACAAAGGCTTCAATAGCTTTATCTCAGTCTTGTATTACAACGCTAAAGGCAGTTTACGTCTTCAAATAAATATGTATAAATGTCCCCAAAATTCCTGAGAGATGAGGAGAAACTGGAAATTGTTTTATTTTTTACCACTTTCTATTAGCGTAAAAGTTCCTTTCAGTATTCTAAGAGAAGGACGACATGAAAGTGTTTACTTGTTTTAATTATTTCATCAAGTTTAAAGTCATAATATTTAATTTTTTCATGAAATCAAATCCCAGTTTTCCTACTATTTATGGTCAGCATTTTTTCTGCAATAGCCATTTAATGTACATTCAGTAATTATCTTTTATATACTATAGTAGGTTTTAGTAGTAGTGGCGGGGTCCGCCATTCCGGCACTGGATCCTGATTGCCTTGCTATGCACAAGGGATTCAAAGGAAACAATGAGTGTAATCCAGCACAATTTTATCTCATTGATATAAGCCTCACTGTTTATTGTTCACTCTCTTTAAACTGTATCAGAGCTGTTATTTCCTACTGCCAAAGGAAACACATCGTCAGCAAGTTGGTGACTCGCCAAAGTCTAAATTTTCATTTTGGGATGAAATATCACTTTAACATTAATTATTGTCTTTGTACTACAAAACTTTTCAGAGTGCACGCTTCTCCATGTGTTGATTATGCAGTGTATTCCCTGTTGCTAATGTAAAACACACACCGGCACAGTCAAACACACTTGTGCCAAGAAACAATGGATCCCTTTGATAGAGCAGACTGGTACTGAGAGAGACTAGCATGCAGGCTGGTGAGATGTCAGGTTGGGGTGATATTCAGTGTGTAGCAGGGGGTCCCAAGTTGCATGATTCCCCTGAAGGCATGACAGCGGTGAAAATCCTTATCTGGTGTGTTAGATGACTGGCGCTGATCTGTCATTCGTGACAGTCGGTCTCAGCTTGACCGTCGCAAACGGATTCCCTCCTCTGCAGGAAGAAAATGAGAGAAAAAATCATAACGCTGGTAAAATGCCTTCGAGTCCATCCTCGTGTTGTCATCAGTCAAAGTTTATTTAATAACACACATCTGTGAAACTCAGTGAGTCTTTGTTAGTTGTGTTAGGTCACTCACCCTAAAAAGGGAGCCTTTGCAGTCCCATTGACTAAAGAAACCTGTTGTCAAAAACAGAAGAAAAGACCCTTCAAGATCCAGCAGATGACGAGAATAAACACACAACATTAAACACACACACCACCACAGTTACCACAAATCCACACCCTCCATCCAGCTGTGAAGAAAGTCAGTGTTGTCAGACTGGTTTGTTAAGATTTCTCATCAACAGTTGTCCCCCTGCCTCCCTCCTTCCCAATCAGCGCAGCGGAGCCTTGACATGTGTACATAAGCTGCAACCTCAGACCTCAAAGAGTCTGGAATCTGGACAATCTAGAAAGGCTGGTGAGAGACACGCTCCTCTTTCTCTTACTTAAGGAGGATGATAATCTTATCACCTGCACAGAGCTAAGTAGGCATGGGGACAATAAAGTTTAGAGAACATAAATGCCCTGAAGGCTCCTTTAGCACATATTTGCTCTAAAATGCTGTAAAGAAAGTTTATAGGAGTGCTACGGCGGTTAATAAATATGTCAGAGGAGCTTAATATTAACCCTTGAGTTTGTAGTTTAGGATCAGATCAGAACATGCATTTAAATTAAGACTTTATCACTCATTAATTCAGTGTGCAGGAGCTGATAAAGAGAAGGAACTTACTGAATAGATTTTATTCTATTTTTCAGATGCAAATCTTTATAAATTACCTCTATTATTAAGCTTATAGGTATGGCCGTCATCACATTGATTACTAAGTGCAGAAAAACATGTATTACCCTGCTCGTCCATTAGAGAGCAGACAACATCCAGGAGTCACAGAACATGGAGCAACCAACAGGCTTTTATTCCCTGAGCTCAGTCTTTCAGGAAGCACTTCCTCCAATGGCTGCATACTGAACAAACTCTTACTTTTTTTTTTTTTGAATAAATTATAAACATAACAATAATTTAATTTGAGTTTGTTGATTTTCTGGCTTAAAACACTGGTCAAAATCCTTGCTTAATCCTCAGGGACAGATTTGTCACGTCAAATTGCCAAAAATATGTTGGCAAAATCTATAATAAATAAAGCAATATTTTCAAAAATAAAATCTTAAATCAACTCTTACTGCAAGGGGTTTGACATTGTGTTAAACGGTGTGCCACAGACTTTGAGATATGTTTTCTCTTGTTTGGTGGGTGTGTCAGAGGTGTTACCCAACCAGCAGCAACATGCATATCAATAAATGCCCAGTAAATCTTTTACTTATTCTCACACTTACTTTGGCAATATAAATAAACATTTCCAATGCCAGTAAAGCCCTTTGCATTGAACTGAATTACACCAAACTAAAAAGCAGTGCACTTGCGTAACAAAACACGGTGTTCAAGGCACCACCATTTTTGTTTGAATAAATGTTTTGCAACATTTTGTCAGAGAGAAATGCAGCCCTGGATTAGAGATATTTTCACAGCAAACAAACATAAAAAGTAAACATGAGATATAAAGTTGATTCTCAAGTGCTGACAGGAAGTTGCATACTGTAACTGCAGCACCTAAGCAAATCACTGAAACTGAGGTACCTCAATTTAGGGTCCCTTCCACAGCCTGTTAAACACCTGTGTCCAACGTACAAAAACTTTTTAGGATTACGAAGACGTGATTTGAATGCTGCCTGAGAGGCCAAACTCAGGGAACAAAACTCCCCATGGCAAAGAAGCCAAGGTCCACCTTTGCCCCACAGTCACAATAGCAAACCTAAAGAGCACAGTCAGCCTTCAGCCCTCTGAACAAATCACCAAAAGGCATGGCAAGGACTTCCTGTATGTGGCAATACTAAAGTTTTTGTCCAAGCTGGGCTACATTTTCCAAAAATATCATGAATTATAAGAATATGAGCATGAGATGAGAAGAAGAAGAAAAAAGAAAAGCTCTGGGATTCCTAATTTTGGGGAGGTACATCCCTCACTGTGGTTTATGCCATTGTAAAGCCCTGAGGCAGCAGATACAAAGGACAAAGAGTACTGTACAGACAGAGCGGCGAGGAAGGTGATGAGGGAGAAAGAAGTGTGCCTGGGCTTGTCTGCCGGCTGGACAGCTACTAGTTCATTCTCAATCAGCTGACACACACAATGAAATTGTGCCTGTACCCTCTTGTCCTTTATGTAACTCTCTACCTCTCTTCTAATCTCTCCATCCCCGGGAGAAACCTGGCAAAACCTGGCTGGGAGCATTTTTCAGATATCTTTAAAGAAAAACTGAGCAAACAACTCTCTGGTCTGTTACATACTTTTCCCTTTTCTCGTAATAAAGTAGTTAAGGATCAGTTGCGGCTTGCACATCCTTATGGGGAAATGCCATCTGGATAAATATAGCATATTTCCTTGAACTGGTTGGAGGAATTGAGGTGTGTTTCTGGCTGAGCTCTCTCATGAGGGCATGGAGGCGATGACTGTGCAGCAAGGAGGTGTTGATAAGACACGATTAATCAGACTAAAAGTGTGTGATGGCATTTTGTGGTGGTGTCTGTAATGAATTAGACATGGCAATAAAGAGATCATAACAGGACATGTCAGAAGATGTGATGTGGCACACTTCATAAACATGTCAACCACAGTCTTCGACTGTTAGCCACACAACCGGAGCTAAAAACCTGTTAGCAAAAAGTTGCCTAGTTACATATCTGCAGCCATGAAACAACATTTGTCCTTTTGTCTCTGTTTTTGGGCTCCACCTATGCAGCTAACTAACGAATTAGCTGCTAAATGTCTGTCTGTCATCTGGTGCTACATTTGGTCTGTTGTTTTCAGCAGGTATGTATTATTGTGTGTCATTGTTCTAAAATATATTGGAAGACAATTCTGTTTTCAAAGCAACATACGTGATAACGCAACTTTTTAAAATCGCATCTTATTGTAATGAGTGTCTGGGTCCATACCCTGGAATCTGCCCACTCCACAGAGTTCAAGTGGTGTAATACATCTGGCATAGTGACATGAAACAGCAGTTTCTTGATTGAAATCAGTGTCACAGGCAGGACTAATGCTGTGCCAAGCAGCACATCAGAACCAATGACAACAATGGCAAGCACTATAGATGCTGCTATCAAGACTGTTCTATATCAACACGTCTTCTCTATAGCGCCGGACATCATAGTTTGTATTACTTCGCTCTGCTTTACTCTTACAACCCCAGCAAAACATGCTGCTTATGTTGCATGTCTACACAGTAGTGTGGAATTGAAACAATGTTAGATTCAGGTAGATACGTCTACTGTGGAGTCTGAGTGGACGCAATGTCAGACTGAAGATAGAAATGGAGTGTAACAAGTTGACAATTCTGTTTGATATCAGGCAATAGTAACTTCAGAGAACTAAAAAAATAGCATTCTCATTTAAATGAGTGACAAATGATGGATTAAAGGATAAATAATGTCAAGTTAATCATATCCACACACAAAAAACATGTACTGATTTAACAAACTCAATAGACAACATGTGATCAGTGCATTCTTAGTCAGAGGCTGGTACTGACTGTGTTCTGTGGCGAGGGCGTTGAAGGGACCACTCGGCCAGAGGGAGCATCATCGCTGTAGTCTGGCGGCGGCAGCAACACCGGCTCCTCTTCATCCTGCTCTGGCAGACTGGCCACGCTCAGGCTACGCACCGGTGTTCCCAGATTGCTGGTAATGCATATGACACAAAGGGTCAGCAATCGAATATCAGTTGTAAATCAAATCATCGATTCACTTCCCAGCATGATGTGATGTTGTCTTACCTGTTTGATGTCACTGTTTCAGTATACGGTCTGCAGTAAGATGAGGGAAACCAGCCCCGCCTGATAAGGAGGACAAGCACATAAATATCAGAAACATCATAAAACAGTTTTATATAAACAGTCATAAAATCTTTATTGGTCACTGACTACTTTGATACCCATTAGATGTTCCTGGAGTCCATAACATACAGACAGTATGAACTATGAGAGAGACAATGTTCAGAAGCTAGACCAGACGACATCACAGCATGAGTGGGGAGAAGCTGTAAAATCTTCTAAAAAAAAATGTCTCTAAAACTTGCTCTATCTTGCACAATTTCCACTCTTCATACACAATTTATGCATCAAAACTTTATTAGATTACTAGATATTTTTGTCTTGTTTCAGATGCTGTGCCCATTTAAGCAATAGGACTTACAGTTTTTTTCATTTTCTGCTTCAAAGCAACACAAGATCCCTTCAAAACCACACTGGCTGTAATGTTATTCACCAGCAAGTCTTGCGCAAAAATGCAAATGTCAAGACCTTTGAAATTGTCATTGCTCAGTTTTTTTTTTTTTTTTTTTTTTTACTTTACCCACACAATGACATGTCTACATCTTCAGCAAAGTCTTGGGGTGCTCATAGTGAAGAGATTTTAGTGATAAAATGAACAGTTATTGACTTCTGATATCTATTTCTATGTTAGCGACAAATGCTTACAATTGCACGATACCATTGCAAAAAAGCCCACTTATTAAAGGAATAGTTCAACATTTTGGGGAAATACATGCATTCACTTTCTTTCCCAGAGATATAAGAGACGATAGATATCGCTCTCAGGATTCTGCTGCTAGCAGTCAGTTAGCTTAGCTTAGCACAAAGACAGGAAACAAGGGGAAAACATTTGCCTTTACATCTTAGGCGTTTCTCAATACCAAGTACGCCAAGTTCGGACTTGTGCACGTGGGAGTTCGGACTGGGCAAGTTCGACTCAGAAGTACAAACTCCCAAGGACGGCTGCCATTGCCGCTGGTCTGTGAGAAATGCATTCTGGGATACTTAGCTGTCAAAAGTCCACACAAGTCATCTCCCGATGCATCCCCGATGGAACGGGCAGAGCAAGTTCACATCCGGGCATTTGGACTGTACTTGGCTGGATGCGAACTTTGAACTGGAACAGTACTTGGGCTGCGACTGATGATGTTTCACAAGTCCGCAAGAACACAAGTAAAGGCAGGAACGCAGATTGAGAAACGTCTCTTGTTTTTTTTACTCTGAAGAAAAACTGATATGTAAAAACTACACTATGATTGTTATTCTCCATATTCTTTCTTAGTTGGGTACAATCAATTCCTGGAGTCCCTCAGCTTTTAGTTTTTGAACATTATTTTGTGTACGGATTTAACCAGAGCCATGCTGGCTGTTCTGCCGTCTCCTGTCTTTATGCTAAGCTAGCTGCATTAGCTTCATTTTTACTAGGTCTGGGTGTATTTTCTTAAATGTCAAACTATTCCAGAACCAAACATTTACAAAAATAGGATCAACAAGTAAAAATTACCACAGTGTGGCAGACTGTGTTGGTTTGAGTGACCATAATTTAGTGGAAAACCTTTAAACAAAATTCTTCAGTAAAAATCTGGCTGACACAAGTTGATGATCTTGCCCTACACAGTTACAGTAGAATGAACCCAGGCAGGTAAGTTTCATATCTAGATAACCCAAATAATAATACACTTTCACAGTCCTGTGTGCACACAAGAGACTGCAAGGACATCTGCTTTTTAAAGGTTCCTGAGTTAAAATAGTTGAGAATTGCTGCTACAGACAACACACTTGAATCAGATGCATCTATGACAGACAGACAGATTTTGTTCACTAAGTCTCCGAAGCTGTCTCCAAGTCACGTCTGGAGAAAAATATGGCTTATCAGACCAATGCACTGGATTTGTTGCCAAGAAACAGAATGTAATGTGATTTATCCCAACATGTCCTCATCTTGACAAACCGCCACTGACTGCATTAAAACCTCTTCAATTCAAAAAGCCACTTAACAACACACACACACAGGGAGAAGATAAGGCTTGCTTTAATTTGTTTTAAAGTGGGAATGAACAAAAATAGTGACACAAGCTCTGTAAGCACTCCGTAATCCTTTCGCCTGCAATATGAGTCCTAATTGATCTAGCGAGGAGTTGAAGATGGCTATAATTACACAGGCAACTCAGGGGCTACTTTATGGATCTGTGCCGCTATAGCTACATATACAAACATGACTTATTGTACATAAACATTTTCTGAGCTTATCATTTGAACACATAAAGCTAACAGGTGCCCGATGTGTTACACATGTGTCACAGCTGCTGCACAAAGGTGTGGTTTCATCTGAATTGCTTTTATAGTTGACGTATTCATTTCATTCACTCATCATAATCGTGTGCCAGGGTGAAGATAAATTAGACATCATCGCTGAGGGATATATAAAAGACCAGATGTCTCTTGTTTGTGTGTGTGCACCTGGATGTTTTGCATGCGTGTGTGTGGTGTTGATGGGCAGGGCAAGAGAGACAGAGAGAGGGAGAGAGAGAGAGAGAGAGAGAGCACGCTTTACGACTGTCATGTGGAACATACCTGGCATACTCTGTGTTTCTAAGCATGATGCATTAGCTCAGAGAAATCATAACAAACACAAAGCAATAAAACGAGTACTGCTAACCTGAGTTATGTGAAAAATGTGCTGCTGCATATTTGTTGGAATGAAAGTTTGGGTGTGCCAAAGGTCGTATTTAGATTGGGATGCATTTCACACTAAACTTCCTATTCCATATTTTGAGTTTGTATTATTTTCTAACGAGTTATGTTAGACTTACAAACCCTATCTATCCTATCCAGCTCTTAAAGGAATACTTCGACCTCCAAACGACTCACCCCGTGCTACACTAAATTCACATATAAAAACCTTGTTTTTCTCTCATGCCTCCATGGTGGACATAGAATCCAAAAATGGAGAAAATTCTTGGTGAATTGAAGTCATATGTGTCTGCGTTAAAACTATATCAAAACATCTGCTACAAACTCTCACAACTTGTGCAGCATAATCCAAGTCTCATTTATCCAGCTGTATGCTCAGTACTTCCTAACACATTACCTTGCCGTGAGATGACACAGAACTAAACTGAAAGTGAAACTTGTCTATGCTCTCTTTAAAGCCAGACTCCATTGACAAAAACGGTAATTTTACCTCACTGAACACAGGAGTTGCTGGTCTACCGCTGCCTCTATCAGTTAGCTTGTTTGTTATCGTGTGACTTAGGTTGTCAAAAGAGTTAGTTCAGATTCACAAGTCACACAGTAACACAAACTTCTGACTTAGAAATGGAAGACCAGTGGTCCTGTGTTCAACAAGGTAAAATTACCATTTTTGTCAATGGAGTCTGGCTTTGAAGAGAGCATAGATAAGTTTCACTTTTAGTTCAGTTTCCTGTAGAAAAGAGCTGTCAGTTTGGGAAGTACTGAGCATATGACTGGATAAATGAAAAACTTATCATTCTAGGGGAGTTGTGTCAGAGTTTGTAAGCAGATGTTTCAATATAGTTTTGCTGTTGCTAAATGCGGACCCTTATTACTTCAGTTCGTCAAACTTTTGGATTTATTCACCTTGGAGGCATCAGCGAAAAAAACAAAGATTTCTTCAAGAATTCAGTGTAACATGGAGTGAGTTACTGATACACAAAAGGTCATTTGGGGGGATGAAGTATTTCTTTAAGTTGGAATTTTTTTAATTTATGTTATTGTCAACAAATCCAAGGAAAAGACCAAAACCAAAAATCTGTTAGTCTGTGTCGCAGTGTGTTCCCCAGCTTGTTTGTGCCAATTGGTTCCCACTGAAGATATAAATCTTTAAAAACAGGTCAAAAATGAGTAGTTCAATCTTTCTAAAAGGCTAAACAATTTCCTAAAAAGCTGCGCACTGCAAACATTACTCAAACAGAAGTGCGTTATGCATAATGCATTTGTCAGGGACTATTTTTACTGGCAGATTAATACACATTTGGTGCATTAAGGAGTATTTATAGTATCTACAGTGCATGTGTGATCGACTCAAAATAAACTGCAGTGGGTGTGTTCTTGGTATTGGAGAAACATGTCAGACAACAGTGGTGATCTCTGGTACAGAGGAATAAGCTTTATCAGACTTTTGGCTACACAGGCAATACTTATGCGTAGGATCATTCCATAGTGGGTTTATATCTTTTCAGGGGATTTGTTGTTAATAAGAAAAGAATAGAATCACCAGACTTATCCTTCAAAGCCGCAGATGCTGTGATGAATAAAAAGATGAGTAAACTATGACTCATCGTGAGACAAAGAACCACCAAAACAAACAAAAATCATTCACATTTCCAGAAACTGAGCTGAGGAGCAACACATCCCTGAATATTCAACTAGTTAAAAAAACATACTGCTGCGTCTTCTCCAGCTCTCCATACAGCCAGCCGTCCTTCTCTTCTTGGAGGAGCAGGGTGATGGTGTCACCGTCGTCGAAGCTGAGGAGTGTTTGGTTGTTGCCGGCCGCGTGGGGAAAGATGGTCTTTACTCGGGGCTTCCTGCCAACATTAAGACCAGACGACTGGGATGTCGACCGGGACAGACTGACCTCTCCAAGGCTGCCCTGGTCTGGAAATGGCGAAAATAAAAAACAAACAAACAAACAAACAAACAAACAAAAAAAACTACCAGAAATTAGAGATGTGAAATATTAAGTGCAGACCTGCTATGGAGGATCTTTTTGACTCATACAAAGTAATCCCTCTCAATCATCACTTTTGGCCCACACGAATGGTGTTGCAGTGTATTTATCTGCAGAGACTCTGCCCCCTGCCTGTATTTACATATTTTCTTCTTATCTTGCTATGTTTGGGATATTTCTGTGCATATAACCCGAGCCAAGAACAGTGCACTACTGTGGTTGAGACTTATTAAAGAGGTAGTGACCAGGTGCCAGACCAGAAGCAGCACGTATACAAGAGGAAGCTAAGAAAAGGGGTCACAATGGCAAAAAAACGCAAATGAAGCAAGACAAAAATCTTGTTCCAAGACGGAGGGTGAAGAAGAGTTGGACTGTTTTCTGTTGGACAGGTAGAAGCCGGCTTTTAGCTTAGTTAGCTTGCTAAAGTATTGGCTTTTCCATTACAACAAATGTATCATCCCTATAGTAATGGCTTGCAGTGTATGTACAAGCAGGTGGGAGGGGCTGAGTTTAAATGTTGTGTTTACAAACAGTAACCTACAATTCCTTAATAGTATACCTTTAAAATCAAAGGTAATCTAAAACAATATTAATCTAAAGCAGTAGTTTAACACTTAAGAAAATGTGTGTGGATTTTGCTACGTTCGGACAAAGAAAGGCTAGCTGTTTGCCCCTGTTTCAAGTCTTTGTGCTAAGCTAAGCTAACAGGCTGCTAACTTCATATCTACTGCACTGAGTTTTACTGATTTTCTCTTTCTATCTAGCCCTCCATATCAGTAGGCATATACGTGCATGTTTTAAAAATGTCAAACTGATTTTTTTTTTAAAAAATCCAACACAATATCTCAGACAACAGTGCTACCATTTTGACAAAACTTAAAACAAGGAAATCAATGGCACCTTAAAAGTGTTCTATGATGATTGATGTCTATGCTACATGTTTAGTTTTGATGTAATCTCTATAAACAGATATCTGCATATGAATGCAGAATCTGCAGACAAAGCGAAAATATTTCGTTATTGGAAGTGTTCTGGTTTACGTCTGTAGTTCCTTTGTTGTCCAAGTAGTACTGACCAATCATGTTTGAGCTGGCTTCTGTTGCATGCAGGTAAATAGTCAGTGAGGAAAGGCAGAGTGCACTGGTTGTAATGCAATCTCAGAATCAACCAGCTATCATCTGACAACATTCTATCTTTTTCGATTTATCTGCTTTCATATGCAGATATCTGTTTATAGACCGTCATGACTCTGTGCATATAGCGTCTCAAGTTGCTAATTACAATTAATTAGTCTTAGCCCAGATATCCAATATCTGGATATCCTGTGGCTACACTGGAACTCCCCAGATACTGAAAGATGATGGGTTCCGAGATTTGTTGTGATGAAATGTGGCTGCGTGATGCATCTTGCTCACTACAGTACTGAGAGATGCCAAAGTAATTTGTAGAGACAGGTACATTCATGTTTTTGTTTCAGAGGAGCCATCTGTACCTGAGTTGTGGTCTGACGGAGGGGTGAACGGAAACCTGGGATCTTGGTTGAACATGCTGGCTAGTGGACTGGTCTGTGCCTTCAGTGGCGGTGCTGGAGGAGGCACCCCTGGCTCCACGTTGTTCTGAGGAGATGAAGAACAGTATCATTAGAAGATGCATTACGTGACAGAATATGAGACGGCAATAGTGAAACTATAACAAGCATTTTCTCTGAATGACCAGGGTAAAGTCCTTCTTAATGACTTTTAAAAAGTCATTACTGTAATTGAAACTTAGTGTCTCCCTCCTACGCAGCAATAAACAGACACAGTCAAATAAACATTTAGTAGACTTCACAAGAACAACAAGAGCACATGCAGGATATCCTACGGCTGAGAGCCAGACAATGAAAAGCAGTCACTTTACACAGAGCAGCCTATATCTGTTGTAACAGACATCAGCACCTTCGCAAGATAAACTTAAAGCAACAAGACACAATAAAACACTTCAGGGCCGGCATTTTCTATACTATCTGTTATGGACTACTTGGAATGCTTTTATCCACAGCTTTTATCTGAAGCATCAAGATGAGTATCAAAGTTAGTTATGAAAAGCAACACACAGTATAAGATAAGTGAATAAAGCTCAAAATATAATATTCTGCCTCATCTCACAGAGCACATTCTGATGCCATTCAGCATGAATCCATTAACTGCCTGCTAATTCTCACCCTGTTGTAGCGTTCAACCAGCGGTGACTGTTCTGGAGTGTTGGACAGCTCCTCTATCATGGTTGTCACTGTGTCTGGCACCTTGGTGATGTCGCTGCACTTTTCCTGCCAGCTGGGGAGCCTCACGGAGAGAATCTCTTTGGCCTGGAAACACCAAAAAAGTAAGGTGTTAAACAGTGCATTGATGGAGGGGTCTGACTGTGCAGGATTACAACTCTGTTTACGCTTACTTTCTCATGGAAGTTGCTAGTCTGATAGGAGAACATGCAGTGTTTGTCTGCCAGGAAACAGAAGCGTCGCTTTTCTTCCAGTAAGGCCTCTCTGCAGCCGTCAGCGATGAACTTCTGCATGTCCATCTGGCGCGATGAGATGGTCTCCATATACTGTGGGCAGGGTCATAGGACAGTATTAATTATTAGCATGGGTTCAAGTGGTCAATAAAATGACTGGTAGATTGTATTTTACTGTACGGTATGCATAATTTTTGGCAAGTGACAAAGACAAAGAGGGCATTGTATTTTGCTCAGCCCTTTGTCAGGCTTATGAAAAACTAGACAGGGCCTAAATAAATTAAATAAATAGTTGAAAATTATATTTATTAATAAAAAACTAATAATGTGAAATACCAATAAAATGATAAGTAAAAATAATAAATACTAAATGAATGAAACTGGAAAATATAACTAATAAATAGCAAATAAATGTAAAAGAAAAATATAAATAGGTAAATTTAAAAAAGAAATAAAGAAAAAGTAGAATAAATAGGTAAATTTAAAAAAGAAATAAAGAAAAAGTAGAATAAATATAAATTATGGGAAAATTATAGAAATAATTAAAAATATTAGTTAACAAAAAAGGATATATAAAAATTAAAATAATTCAAGAAAAAAGAAACTAAATGTAAATTACAGCAAAATAACTAAAAAATTAAAATATTATTTCAAAACAAAATAAAAGAAAGAAAAATTAAAATAAAAAATAAAATATGAAAAAAAGAACACAACTAGAAATTACAGGAAATTACAGAAATAAATATAAATTAAAAACGAAATGTATTTATTTATTTTTTTCCCATAATTTCCTTTTTTACTTTCTCTTAATGTTTTTCTATTTAATTACTTTTACTGCCTTTTTATACATTTATTCATAATAATTTTTTTCTTCGCTAAATATTCATCTTGCAGTCGCCAGTACCTCCACCTCTGCAGCACAGGCTGTGCTGCTGTGTGAATCTACATGGTGAATCAGTTAAGAATTATAATTTGTTGCTTTAACACCAACCTGAGTGGGAAACTGGCTCTTAATATCTCTTCCTCAGCAAAAGCGAACCCTGCGGCCACAACTTTATGTTTGTGTGCTCAAGGTCAGATTCACAAATGGAGGGACTAATGAGCGCTGTAATCAAAGCCTCTGCACTAAGCGACAAGTTTATTTGGGTCTCCTGCTGCTAGTGCATCGATCTTAGCGCAGCAGTAAACCAAATCAGTGTGCTGAAAGACACATCGTCGCCACAGAGAACGATTCTGTTTGTGATGCAGAGCAGATGGCCGACTGGACCTCACATAAGACATATAAAACTCTTTAAAATGACTTTTCAACCCACTCCTCTATCCCTTTATTCTACACCCACTCCCTTTACAGTATCTCTCCCATTTTCCCAGGTTGTCATGGTGACGGTAAAGCAGCCTGTCTCTAAGGGCTCTGTCGAAGACCCTCCTCTACTGTCTGGTCTCTTTCTCCACAATAGCCTGTCAGATGCTGAATCAAGGCTCTTCTTTCCCATTTTCACAGCAAACAGTCGTCCAGACTCTCAGCGAGAGGTGGGAGAGCAGAAAGACTGAGCTCATCACTGGCAGCGCCGAACATGATTATGAGACAGCTGGGTTAGTTAAGCCTTGTCTCCTCTGTAATCCACTAGTGTCATCCTATCAAGAGACACTTCTGTGAGAGGATGGGACCAAGATGAGACAACTTACAGTACAGGCCAAAAGTTTGGACACACCTTCTCATTCAATGCGTTTTCTTTATTTTCATGACTATTTACATTGTAGATTCTCACTGAAGGCATCAAAACTATGAATGAACACATGTGGAGTTATGTACTTAACAAAAAAAGGTGAAATAACTGAAAACATGTTTTATATTCTAGTTTCTTCAAAATAGCCACCCTTTGCTTTGATTACTGCTTTGCACACTCTTGGCATTCTCTCCATGAGCTTCAAGAGTTAGTCACCTGAAATGGTTTCCACTTCACAGGTGTGCCTTATCAGGGTTAATTAGTGGAATTTCTTGCTTTATCAATGGGGTTGGGACCATCAGTTGTGTTGTGCAGAAGTCAGGTTAATACACAGCCGACAGCCCTATTGGACAACTGTTAAAATTCATATTATGGCAAGAACCAATCAGCTAACTAAAGAAAAACGAGTGGCCATCATTACTTAAAGAAATGAAAGTCAGTCAGTCCAGAAAATTGCAAAAACTTTAAATGTGTCCCCAAGTGGAGTCGCAAAAACCATCAAGCACTACAACGAAACTGGCACACATGAGGACCGACCCAGGAAAGGAAGACCAAGAGTCACCTCTGCTTCTGAGGATAAGTTCATCCGAGTCACCAGCCTCAGAAATCGCAAGTTAACAGCAGCTCAGATCAGAGACCAGATGAATGCCACACAGAGTTCTAGCAGCAGACCCATCTCTAGAACAACTGTTAAGAGGAGACTGCGTGAATCAGACCTTCATGGTCAAATAGCTGCTAGGAAACCACTGCTAAGGAGAGGCAACAAGCAGAAGAGATTTGTTTGGGCCAAGAAACACAAGGAATGGACATTAATCCAGTGAAAATCTGTGCTTTGGTCTGATGAGTCCAAATTTGAGATCTTTGGTTCCAACCGCCGTGTCTTTGTGAGACGCAGAAAAGGTGAACGGATGGATTCCACATGCCTGGTTCCCACTGTGAAGCATGGAGGAGGAGGTGTGATGGTGTGGGGGTGTTTTGCTGGTGACACTGTTGGGGATTTATTCAAAATTGAAGGCACACTGAACCAGCATGGCTACCACAGCATCCTGCAGCGACATGCCATCCCATCCGGTTTGCGTTTAGTTGGACGATCATTTTTTTTTCAACAGGACAATGACCCCAAACACACCTCCAGGCTGTGTAAGGGCTATTTGACCAAGAAGGAGAGTGATGGAGTGCTGCGGCAGATGACCTGGCCTCCACAGTCACCGGACCTGAACCCAATCAAGATGGTTTGGGGTGAGCTGGACCGCAGAGTGAAGGCAAAGGGGCCAACAAGTGCTAAACACCTCTGGGAACTCCTTCAAGACTGTTGGAAAACCATTTCAGGTGACTACCTCTTGAAGCTCATTGAGAGAATGCCAAGAGTGTGCAAAGCAGTAATCAGAGCAAAGGGTGGCTATTTTGAAGAAACTAGAATATAAAACATGTTTTCAGTTATTTCACCTTTTTTTGTTAAGTACATAACTCCACATGTGTTCATTCATAGTTTTGATGCCTTCAGTGAGAATCTACAATGTAAATAGTCATGAAAATAAAGAAAACGCATTGAATGAGAAGGTGTGTCCAAACTTTTGGCCTGTACTGTATGTCTTTTAAAAGGTGCCATTCAAGTGCGAGGACAAACAGGAGACTGATTCTGATGTTAGCAAAACAGTGCATCTGAGCTGCTTTTTTACAGGCTGCAATCACTTCTTGACTTTTCATTTATAAAAATTTGGTTTAATAATTCTCTTGGAACAAACCAGGCTCACACACCATCCATCATCGAAGTGAAGACATGAAAACGGTCGATAAATTAAAACAAGAGACCGACAGGAGTTATTACTCAGGCTTTGCAGTCCCTACTTCATCTCACCACATTGATTTACAAAGCAAATCGCTGTCCGGGGTGTTATGCCTGCTGCTTGGTGGTGGACAGCAGCATGTAAACATCTCACAATGTGCATTTGTAAGCGTACACTTCAACCAATATACTCAGGGTCATTGCGCACCACATTACAGACCTACTCAAGCAAGGCGATGTAAATACTGACAAGTAAATCTTCAAAGCCATGTGCGTGTGTACCTCTGTTCACTCAGCAGTGACACTTGTTTTAGCTCTGTTTGTCAATGCTGTGGGATTTCTGAGATGCTGAAGATCTGGTTTTATGAGACCACGCTGCTCAGAAATAGTTGTCATGCATGTGACTCTATTAGAATACACACTGTAGCACTTTACACTGTAAAAAGTACAGTTTTACCTATTAATGGGTCAAAATAAAAGACTGCAGAATATTTCCAAATAGTATAGTAATTGTATGTTTTGTATTTATGGTCATTTATATTCATCTGGTAGCTGGAATGTAGAGTGTCTACAGCTGTACTAGCTGCTCTGTGAGGCTACACTAAAGCACTTGGGGTTGGACACCAACTCAGTACTTTTATGGGTAAGTTACCGACTGAATTACACTGGTACTACCGAGTACTGTACATGTTAAATTAATTGGTGCCAAATTCTGGTACCTGAAACCACATCTGGGTGAGAGAGAGTAATTTAGACTAAAGAGTTAGAAAGAGCGAGACTAACCTGTTAAAGTTACAGTGAGTCAGGGCAATGGCATGCTGAAAGCGGCCGCAAGTCTAGTTCCTCTTTCCAAAACTCGACATGGACAATGCTCTGCAGTGTTTGTAAGGTGAAATGCAAAGTTGACCATGGCAACACTTCTAACCTATGGAAACACCTGGTCAAACACAAATCTAAAAGCTAAAGTTACCATGTTTGATAGCGTGAAAGCCAAGTCCCCCCCGCAGCAGCTGCAGCTAACGTTAGCATGCCTGTAGCCAGCGTTGAAGAAGTTAAACCCTCCATTTACGATTAACAACCTCATCACCATCTTCAAGTAGTTAATAAGCTAGTAAGATAAATTTTTGTTGGAGATAACTGGGCTTTTTTCACTGTCTTGGATGACGTTAGCTTAGCACTTTTACTAGCATAAGCCAACACTCAGCTACTGGCTGCACCTGCCTGTTCTGAATAAATAAAAATGTTAACATTGAGAAGTTTTTCAACTAAAATTACATTTGTTATTACAGATAGGGTAAAGTATTGAATTCCAGGTCATGGTACCGCTTTCAGTTCAGATGTGAATGGTACCCAACCTTATTAGCCACAGTGCTGTTTTGAGCTAAATGCTAAGGCTAACATGCTCTCAATGACGTGAGAATTTTAGCTGATGAAAAGCAGGTGCTAATGAAACCATGATTGCCATCTTAGTTAGTAACAGTGGCTAATTAGCACTAATTATTAGCATTAAACTGCTGTTAGCAACCTGATGTGGGTGTTGCTCTTCAGCTTCAATCATATCCTATCTGGGCAGAGAAGTGTTAACACCTAACATCTAAAATGGAGTTACATTTTCCTGTATTGCAGCCCTACCAGCTCTATATCGTCATATAAAACATGCCTTTGGATAATACAACTATCTAGTTGCGCTGAATATACAAGTCAGTCTGTAAACTCTGATTTTTCTCATTTTTGGTTTCCAGGAATGAAGACTAAAGGTAACCATATGGTTAAAATTAATCCCACCCACTGCATCCAATACAACCTGGATCTCAGCGTGGGCTGAAACTGTGTGTGTACCTGCATTCGTGTGAGCAATCACGCATTCATTTGTGTAAATTTGGGTGTGTATGCCTTCCATGAAAACACAATCTTCTGTCTGTAGCTGAACGCAGTGAGCCGAGGTAATGGTGTTACTCTGCTGCGTGTAAAAACAGAGTATCTGCAAACAGCTATGGGTGTGGTGGTACCTTTGATGGTTTTACTCCCTTGTCCTTTCTACGGCAGTGATTTTTTGAAGGTATTTAGTGTTTGAAGGCACATCTCAAATGTCTGTCATCAATGATGTCATACCTTTACCTAATATTAAAGAAAGCAAAACCTGGAATTTCAGTCCCACACCTCCTTCGTCCTCCTTTGCATTGGTATGTGATTATCATGACAGCTATCTCTCTGCCCCGTCACATGAATTGAACACTTGTCATTTTCTTTTCACAGCAATTAGAGTGTGAGCATGCAACAGCACCGAGCTATGCAAAATTTTAGACATGCTGTGTTTTGAAGCGAAGGAAAAAGGTTGGGGTCGATTTGGTTTCAGACTTACCTCGTTCTCTTTGATCTCATACTTGGATGAGTGCTTCCCCTGGCTTTTTCTCCTGAGCTTCTTCAGGTCTGTCTGAGAGCGCTCCAGGGATTCCAGCTTCACCTTGTGCTCTGACTGGTAGCGCTTGAAGGTGGCCTAAAGGAGATATTTGATAACAGAGGCATAGTGAAGTGAAGGGAGGAACTAATGAACAGATTGCAGTTTTCATTAGACAAATGTTCCTCAGATGCAAAGACGTGATGCACAGAACCTAAGAACCTGTTTTTAAGCGCCTAATTAGCAGGTCTAAGCTCTGCATTCATTAAATATGTTCACCTATAAGTGATGAAAAGAGGAACTTACATTCATGTATTTAACATCCATCTCCGTCTTCTTCTCCAGCTCGATAATAATCTCCCTGTGGAACTGCTTGAACTGCAGAGAGAAAACACACACCTTAAAATTCATTGCAACACACATCATGCTGCATGCACGCTGTTTGAAATGCAATGTACAGTTCGGTCACATGGCTCAATGGAGATGTTATGATAAGAGTGAAGTGACCTGGTGGAATGCACGATAATGGGTTTCTGAGAGTATGAGATTCCACCCATGAGGGATCAGGGGTCTTATCAGCTTGTTAATGTTAATGATTTACAACTTTCCTCTCTTGCAGATACATTAAAACAGTGTGTTATTTAGATTCCAAAACTTTTCTGGCACAAGACTTTGTCATGTGTTTTACCGTATTCACACTGGCGACACTCGACTTCAATTTACTTGTCATTAGCAGGTATCTGAAGCATTTCACCCCGAGGCGGCAGGGTCAGGAATCGCTCTGTGGCTTTTCTACTCTTGTCAAACTTTCTTTCACCTTTTGTTCCAACAATTTTCAAACTCTCTACAATGAAAAGAATGAGCTCAAAAGGTTGCAGAGGTGACGTGTCTAGGAAGGACAGTGCAAATGGCCAATCTCTGTCTATTATGTGAAGATAAGATGAGTGTTGGCTGGCCACAGGGTTCTTCTAGGAATGACAATCGATCACTCGTAGAGGCTCTCGTCAATGCATGAAAGTGTTTTAATGACATAATTGCGATACATGAAAGATTTTGTCTCTTTTCATCCATCAGATCCATTGTGTTGCTTTCAATCCTCGGATTCTGGAACAGCTAGAATGGAGAAAAGATGAAGGGAACAATCTGGAGCTGTGAGCTTTACTGAGAGAACTCAAGGTGTCTAATCAAAATCCAAGCTGGACATATCAAATTATCAACAAACTTTCTACCCCCAACTGATCATCAGTGTCATTAGAGCTTGATATTTGGTTGAATTTAGGTTAGGTTGTGACATCAGGACGATGTCAATTTGACGTACAATACTGGCGACATGATATGTTGTTGGTTTTAAGTTGTGTGTTAAGTAACAAAAATCTAAATGTCTCATTTCAGTGCCATCTTGACATAGAATAACAACAGTTAATCATAAGGTATGGATAACAAAACCCATCACCTGCAAAATGTCATAATGTTAACATCCACACAACTTGAAATTCTAACATCATTAGACATCCGTCAGCCCAATTTTCATTCCAAACCAAAATTTAACGTCTGTCCGATATTAGAGTCCAACATCTTTCTAACATTGTATTCAAGTCCTGTGCCAGCTGAGCTACGTCTGCACTCTTAGCCCTGAGACCCTTCATTCTTCCTGAAGATGTAGATCTTTAAAACAAGTCACAAATAGATTTCATTTAAAAAAAACATGCTTAACAGTTTCTTTAAACAGCTGACTACTGTAGTTTTTACTAAACACTACACTAACCATTCGAAAGTATTTGTTGGAGACTATTCACAGTAGGAGATTTGGCACACAATAGTGGGTATCCAGCCTAAAGTAGCAAGACACTGTATGTTGGATCTAATCAAAATAAACTACAGTGCCCTTGCTCATTGTAATGAAGGAACGTGTTACTCAGTGCAACAATGTGGCTCATTCAGGTTTTGTTATACAGATTAAGGGACAACAATGAAAGCTAATGGCACTGAGGACTAAGATATATTAGGCTTTAGCCACACAGGATATACTTGTTTATAGAGTTAAGTCATAGTTGGTTTTGATCTTTTTATGGGATTTGCTGGCAGTAAGAAAAATATACAATAACACCAGACAAACATTAAGGCTACTCACGTTCTCTTCCAGTTCACTGTAGACCTTCTTGTGGGCCTCGGAGATCTCCATCAGAACCACACCTAGAAAGACATCAAGGGAAACTTTTAGTATTTTGAAGAACTTTATAAAGAAAGAGAAACTCGTTTTGAATGGCCCTGGGGTTTTAGATTCTGACCAGGGTCAAGAGGAGTTTTTGACAAAACAAATGTATTCTCTTTCTTGCTGCAAGTTAGAAAAGAAGAGCCCCTGTTAAAGTACACTGCATTGTTTTTTTGACTATAGCGAGCTTCCAAGGTGTTGGTATAGAGACAGAGCGTAACACGTCATACTTTGAAAACCATACCCATTGGAGGGGAAAACAATCAGTGCCACATTATGCAACCAAGGCTTCAAACGCTAACAAAATGCCTGTAGCTAGCTAAAAACATTAGATTTCTGCATGTCAAAAGCATATTTTAGCACCACATGTCTACCATAGAGGAAAAGTAACATTGATAAACTCAATACTGTCAGTCTATTAGGGCAGAAGTAGCCTGAGTTTGTAGGGACTTGGGTTGGGAACCAGAGGGTTGCCCGTCCGGCCAGAATAGGGAGTGAGAATTGGTAGCTGGAGAGGTCCATGGGCACCCCCTTGCTCTGACATCTGTCCTTTTAATGCATGTATAGGTCCTGTTTGCGCACGTGTGTGTATTTCGGGCCTATGTGTATATGACAACAGAGTGAAATAAAATAAATTTCCCCTCTGGGATTAATAAAGTACATCTCCTTCTTCTTCTTCTATCTCAGTGTCCCTGCTTCTTACATTACTTATCTGGAATAAATAACCCCACTGAATGGTTAGAAGTTAACTACTTTGATATTTACAACTATTTAATCAAATTACTAGGTAAGATCATTATTAAACCTAATGAAGATCAAAACCAGGTATTACATAGCGTTGATAGCTTCAACCTGTACAGTTTTTCTGGTTACATTAGCAAAATGCTTGCTGGTTGCAGGCATGATGAGTGTCAGGATCCAAAAGCTTTCCCATTCTTCCTGCTGATGCCTCGCATCTTACTGCCAGTGCCCACTTTTTTTTCAGTTAAGCAGCTTAAAAAAACCTTTGGATTCTTTACCCAGTTGGTTGTATATCCCACCACACAGCAGCTTTTAGGCATTTTTGTCTTGTTTGCAAGCAGACATAGGGGACAAGGAGGCACCATCATGCATATACAGAGTCAGTGGAGGGCATTGAATTGTTTTCCCCTCCGGTCTGTCTCTGTGTGGGTTTGTTATCTTTGGACAGAGCCAGGCTAGCTGTTTCCCCCTGTTTACAGTCTGTGTGCTAAGCTAGCTTAGCTTAGCAAACAAGAGAAAGGTCTCAAAACTTTCATCTAACTCCCGGCAAGAGACTGAATAAGTGTATTTCTCAAAATGTATTAATTAAGAGAGGTGACAGAGCTTTTAGAAACCACACACCAAACATCCAAAAGCAGTGTGTAACAAGATGCAGATTCAGGAGCAGATGTCAGTAACACCTCCCAAATTTCCTACATAAACGTAACCTGTTTTCCATCCGGTCTTGCGTATATCTTTACAACCCATATTTTACAGATGACTTATCTCCTTTCAATATTTAAACAGCTGTCAATAAGTAATCTCTGTGAAACGTTCTGGTATTGTGTGGTCAGATACAGAACAGTCTCCATTCACAGACGGGACTACAAAATAGATAGAGCAGCATATGGCATGAGACAATGGGAGTGAGTCAATACTGTAAACACAAATGGACAATCGTAGCTAAGCAGTTTATGGTGCTACCTCTGGCACAATGGGGTGAAATCTAGACTCAAGGTTTACTATAGGACACAGGGTTCTGGTGAAACCTATAAAAAGGAGAATGGGACATCATATCTGGATGTGTGATAGTATCAGCATGAGGAAACAGAGCAAAAATGAACAACCTGCAACACCTTCAGAGTAAAGTATAAAGCACAGGTGTCGAGTTCACTGTGTGATTTTTAGGTAAAAATCTCTAACAGTTGCTCATGTCAGCATACTCTACCTAAACACTTACACGCATTTGACCCAACACCTGACATTCCTCCGTGCATGCCTTCAACTCAAAGCAAACAAACGTAATGACCCGCTGATACAGAGCTGTACTTCTGTGATCCAGCAGGCAGCGTCCAGCTACAACAACATTGCCCTCTGAAGGTCACCAGAACGTACTGGTAAATGCTGCCTTTGTGCTTCGACAGGGAGGGGTGGCGCTGGGCTCAGGGGCTGTTTGTACAGCCCCAACAACGGGCTGTGGGGGGGTGGTGGTGGAAGGGGGAGGCTGAGAAAGGCCGGGAGGGGGGTTCAAAGGGGCTGTTGTACACCTGCAGGTTTCACCTTTGGGGTTAACAAGGTGTGAAAGCCTGCTCGGAGGGGAGGGTACATAGTTGTCACAACTTGGTATAGACTGTGCGGTGAATCATAAATCTGTCATGAGAGAGAGACAATGTTGTAAAAATGCTTGTAGGCTTTCTCTCCATGGAAATAAGGTGTGAGTGCAGAGGTGTAAAAAGTACAAAAATGGATTTTCTCTGGCTAAAGTGTGAATAAAAAACTAAAAGAAGTACCTGGCTGCACAAAGTTGTTTTAGCATCTACTGGGCTGAACTGGACTGCTATTCAAGTTCATCACCAGAGCGGCTTATTCTCAGTTTATCTTATCTCCTATCTTTATCTGTTGCAGATTGTTCTCTTTCGAGGATTTTAAGTACCAAGATAATCTAATCTTGCCTTGACAATTTAAAACATACATCGCTGTGTTCACATGGGTTTTTACGCAGGTTGGTATGGGCTTGATAAAACATCCCTGTGGAAAACTACATCCATGATTCACTCATAAGACTTATGATTCATTATTACAAACTCTTATTCTCTCCTACACTTCCTAGCCAACACTGGAATTCATCAGAGTGTATACTGACTCAAATACTGTAGTTCATAACAGATAAAGCGAACTTTGACCTTTTTATCCAACACATTGGGTGAGCTTTATGTCTGACTGTAATGAAGATAAACATCAGGAGGTACAACCATTCATAACCCAGCTGTGTTGTCAACCAAAGGTCACAGTGAAAGCTGAAAAGAAATTATTAAGAAGACATTTCTTTTGGTGTTGCAATAACTTAGTTGGATTTAAAAACTGGTGCAGTTAATTTGTATGCCCTGTTTTAAATGCCTGTTTCACAACACTGCAGATAGGTCACAGAGCAACGCCTTCAGCATTCTCAACAGGTGATGCCATTTATGAGCTGGGAGTGCCCTGTGCCAACCCCTGCCTATTTGGTGTTAGATAAGGAAGCTGTACAATACGAAATTACGTTAGCAGAGCAAACATTGGCAGCTGACCTGTTGGCACGTATCCCTGGGCTTGCCTTTATTTCACCACTTTATCTAACCGGCAATCCTTCCTCCATTGCATTTCCTCCTCTATCCAAGTCCAAGCAATGTCTGAGTTGGCGCGCTAAACTCGACAGTGGTCGTTGGTCATTGTCTTGTGGAAAGGCTTCATCACTGAGATGTATCACTAGGCTTTACAGTACAGTGTGTGTGTGTGTGTGTGTGTGTGTGCGTGTGATAAAATGCAGCCACCTCCTATGTGACTCAGGATCGAACGGTATCTCAATTACAGACATTCCAGTGCAGGTGGGGAGAGACACTGTTTGGAGGTTGCCATAGATGAGCTTCTCCCTTCCTGTTATCATAATGATGTCATTGTGATGAATGCTAAATCCATGGTGGAGGAAACACATGTGGAGTTGACTGCGGTTAAACTCCATCTGGACTCTGGAGTGTTCATCATGAAATCACAGGTTGCTCCAAAAGAATTCAGCTATTAGTCACTTCTGTAATTCTATTGTGGTGTAAAGGAATATCCTGTCATCAGATGGGAATATCACTATCATCATGAAAACTCCATCTTTTATGATTCTCATCTTGTTAAACCAAACCTACCACAGATTACAACTCAGAACTTACAACACCTTTACTGTATAAACAACCAACCACCAACATCAACCACCACACAGATCATGATATGACTGAAAGCTCCCAATCGGCCTGAGGTGAGGCTGTTTTGTAAATAGCCATTTTCAAGTTCAAGAATTATCTCAAACTTAACTTTGAAGCCAGCATTGACAAAAAATGTAATGTATTTATAAACAGCGCAAGCTTTATCTGCTGAAGAAGATCATGTGATATGACTGAAAGCTCAGGAGTGGCTAATTAATGGACCTTGAGGTGAGATTGTTTTGTCAACAACTGCATAAACTCAAACACGCAAACTAAAGGCACGGCTGCATTCCTTAACTCCTCAAGTTGACTTGTGGGAGATTCACATCAGTATTTCATTATTATCGATCAATCTACCAGTGACTTTTATAATTAAACAAACTTTGACCTAGTCAGTGTTTCACTTAGTAATGGTTCTATTCTGACCTGGGTCCAAATTCTGATAAATTAATGAGAATAAATAATGAAGTTTATGGAGTGCTGGTTTTTCTGACCGTTGTGGCTGTAGACCGTGGGTGCAGCTGATCCACTTAATACCGCAATGGCTTTACTTAAGTGAGCCAGTCAAGTTGACGATATGATGCGTAGACATATCACCAAAGACTACAACAGCGTAAGAGAGATGTGAGAGGGATGACAGCGTAAAAGTATGAGTCAATTCTGCCTTGTTTTTTCCGACTTGAACTGTAGGGCTTAAATTCACTGAGCCAGGACTAATTTTATTGTTTTAATTTTTTGTTTTTAAGTGTTTTGTCTTATGTTTAAGTATCCTACTTTGAAAACTGACAATAACTATTGTTGAAACGATATGGAAATGCATGGTACTGATTTAATTTGATAGATGTATATGGGTAGGCTATAGGATGCAATGTAGACATGAGGTTCGGACCTTTTCTGGGAGGACATTTTAGTAACTGGACCTCTTTTAATATAAAACCCCTGACCTTGTCTCAAAAATGTTGAACAATGCTGAAATAATACTGTTTATAACTAAAATAACTGAGCATTTTATCACTACTTTTCTTTTGAAA